ATATATATATATATATATATATGTATGTATATGTATGTATATGTATGTATATATATATATATATATATATATATATATATATATAATTATTTTTTTCACTTATTTAATATATAATATTAAAATATAAAAAAAAGTTAAATATTAAAACTTAATTAATATATAATATAAATTATATATATATTATATATTATTATATATAATATAATTATTTTTTTCACTTATTTAATTGGATTTAAAATAGCATAAAAATATGCATTTTTATGATAATTTTTGAACACATTTCTCCTATAAATTCTCATTATAGTAAGGCCAAAACTACTACTAAATAATAGTGTATAATATGCATTCCATTACTGTAATCCTATATATAAATATTATATACATGGTAATATTTGTTGTACAACCTTTGTTGTTGCTGCAAGTTATTTTCTTTCAGCATTTTGGGTGTAATATAGGCATGAACAATAACACGGCTAACAATGATAATCATTGAAAATAATGACATAAAAATATCCAAGTGTGTTATAGCAGAGATTATTTTTGGGGATAAATAGTGTAATGAAAAAAATCATCAGGCAAAACAATGTTTATTTCTCAAAACTGTTGCATAATCTAAGCTTTCGTGATGTCCTCCTTCAGTTAATTGCTGGAGTTTAATCCTCTCTCTCTTTCTCTCTCTCTCTCTCTCTCTCTCTCTCTCTCTTTCTCTGTGCGCATGCGCTGGTTGAGTGGACTGAGTGTGTGGGCGAGAGCGTGTGGCTGCCGTATGAGGTACGAGTGGTCTATACTTCTCTATCTTTACCTGCTGCTTTCCTTTTTTTGTTAGCGTTAATTATAGTTTGTTTTGTTTCTTTACATTGTTAGTAAGTATTATTTTATGTTTTTGGATTAGAGAAGTGAGTGTTGGTTTGAGCCGGGGAGTCCCTGCTCTCACCTGTTGAGAGTATGGCTGCCCCAGGTAGTGGAAGTTTTAATGAGTTGACAAGACGTCACGGAGTGAAAATAGACTCAACTGCTAGTATTGAAGAATGTGGTTTAGCAGTGGGGGAAGAAGTCGGGCATGATAATATTTTATCAGCTTCCCGAATGAATGGCGCTGTTGTTGTTTTTGTGAAAACTGTTGATCTAGCTAATTTGTTAGTTCAAAATGGAATAGTGATTAACGGTATTTTTACACCGGTGCTTCCTTTGTCTACACCCTCAAAAAAAGTAACGTTGTCGAATGTGCCACCTTTTATCCCTAACGAAGTGTTGACAAACTTACTTAAGCGTTATGGGAAAATAGTTTCACCTATTAAAATGATCCCGATCGGAACTAAATCGCCGCTCCTAAAACATGTTGTGTCATTTAGACGGTACGTGTACATGGTTTTGCAAGAACATCTTGATGAACTTGACTTGTCCCTAAATTTCCGACATGAGGACTTTAATTATGTTATTTTCGCCACAACAAATAACGTTAAGTGTTTTAACTGTGGCGGTTACGGGCATTTAATTCGCGGATGTCCCAATAAGGTGGACAATAAATCAAATGAGGCAACTTTACCGGTTGCGACTGATGAGAGTGACGCGCGTCAGGAAAATCAGACCGCTGCGGCGCAGGTTGTAGAAGAGGAAGCACCTGGACCAAGCTCAGGTCAGACAGCTGCTGTTTTGACTGAGCCTGGGAATATTGAAGAAGGGGAATCAGTGGACAGAGCTGTGGACGAAGAAGATATGATTGTCACGGGTGATGAAATGAATGAAGTTGAGAACGTTTCAACCGCTGCGGAAGCTGTGGTGAGTGAATTGTTTGATCAGCGGGAAGGTGCGATAGCAGAGTTGGATGACAATTTATTTAAAACACCTCAGAAACGTAGGCGGGAACAGTGTCCCTTAAATGAGCGAGCAAAGAGAGGTGCTGGTGATGAACCGGGTCAAACAGACACGGAAAGCGAAAGTGATTTCTCTGAATGTAGCGTCAGTTTCAGTTTACCATTGAGCGGCTATTCTAGCAAGAACTATACTGCACACGAAATTAAAACTTTTCTTAAAGACACCAAGAATGCGAGAAATATTCGTATTGAACAGTATTTTCCTGACGTGAGACAATTCATTGACAAAGTGAGGATTTATAGAAACGAAGGATGCTTCAATAAGCAGGAAGTATTTCGTCTAAGGAAATTTATTGGCAAGATAAACGAAGAGATGGAGTCCAGTGCTAGTAATGAGAACTAGTCGGCACCTTTATGCAGTATTTTGTTTGTGGAACTTGCTTTGCTTTTGGCTTTTCTTAGCTATGGGGGAATTAAACATCGCTTCCTTAAATATAAATGGAGCTAGGGAGGGAAAAAAGCGTTTTTATCTTTTTGAAATGATTAAGGAGAAAAAAATTGATGTCTTATTTGTTCAAGAAACCCACAGTGATGCCCTGAATGCTTGTGATTGGGCCAGAGAATATAATGGACTACCTATACTAAGTCATTTAAGCTCTGTTAGTGGTGGTGTTGCTGTTTTATTTTCTAAGAATTTTATTCCGTGCTCTTATCAAGTGGAAGAAATTATAAATGGTAGATTATTAAAAATAAGAGCTCAATTTGAGAATTCTGTTTTTGTTTTTATTTCTGTATATGTTCCCACCAGAGCCATAGAAAGAA